AGATAATCCATCGCTGGTTGTAGTATTAATATCTAAAGTTTACACTGTCTTGTCGTTACTAAATACCTTTTTTATCAGTTGTGCATGTATTTTTTTCCAGTTCCATCGCTTGTTAATGGTCAGTACTCTGCTTTTCTCCATCGTTGGAATCATTCTCGCCTTCGTCTATCTACAGGGATGGACAGAGGTAAGTCAAAGTCCAATTGAGATTGTTCCCGTGTGAAATTGTCCGCTAATTATTGTGACCATGTGACTTGCAAGCTAAGACAGTTTGCTATTTTTAAGTAAAAGTAAAAAAAGTAAAAGTTTCGTAAGAATATAATATTCTTGTAGATTATCAGTTCGTTTTCACTATACGTCACAGCGGCCATTTTGGAGAAACTTTAACAAAGGATTTCTTATTAGTATCTATTGTTCATTCCTCCAACATGGCCGCCGGTCTTTTATCTTTTGAATTTAGTCATGGTTGAAAACAATCAATTTTGTGGTGTTGTTCGAAAAAAAAATATTCTAACATTATTTTATAAATAATATTACCATAGTTTATGGGTTTTCACTGTAGGCTTATGTTGGTCACGCTGCCATTGGTATAGTTGTCCTTGTACTCGCTCTAATTCAACCCATCATGGCTTTATTCAGACCTGGACCAGGAGACGACAAGTAATGAGCCACACACGCATTAACGACTAGCGTACCAAAGCACACACAAACGAACCGACGCTCGAAATGATAAACTATCGAACGAACGCATCCTGCACCAGTAGACCAACTGCCTAACGGAAGCAGGAGTTTGCGTGCAGCCGTAGTAAAACTACAGTTTTRTTTCAGCTGCACGCAGGCTAGTAAACAGAATGAACTCACGACCAAAGAAACCAAGAACCACACTGAATTAATTAATCATAGGACAATGATAAATACCGTCAAATAGTACAAAACAACGGCTAAATTATGCGAATTCCTTTGATTTTGCAGTCTTATCAACACAATTCTGTAGTAATTAGTGCTATTTGTTTCACGGATTAGTGCATATGTGTTGATCGCACTTTAACCACAACTGTACAAACTAAATAGTGCTATTTATTTGTATTCAGTAAATCGTGTATGCGGTACGCAAATACAAATGAGATCGTAGCATTCAATACCGTCTTGCTTCAGGTCCACTTTTAGTACAAATAAGTACTACTTAGATTTTTGACAGTTGCACGGTTGAAGTGCGATCACCCTACTCTGGTAAAGAGAAACTCATAGATGAATGATAATCCAATAAATGAAAAAGTAATTCAACAAAACCATTTGATTAAACTGAACTAGGAAATGAGAGAATAAACGCATGAATAGAGAGAGAGATAAAAGAAAAAAAATAACGAAAAACATTCTCGTTTCAGACGTTACTTGTTCAACTATGCTCACCGCAGTGTTGGCCTACTGGCCCTGATCTTAGCAGGTAATAATCCAATAATGCGTGACACAAAGAGGAAACTCTCCGAAGATATTGCGTGACATGTTTAATCTTTCCGTTACTGATCTCCAGAAGATATTGCGTGACATGTTTAATCTTTCCGTTACTCTCTAAAAGATATTGCGTGACATGTTTGATCTTTCCGTTACTGATCTCCAGAAGATATTGCGTGACATGTTTAATGTTTAATTACAGTTGTAAACTGTTTCCTTGGAGTTGGCCTGCCGCAATTCAAAAACAAAGAGGGTGAAAATTATGGTCTGTATCCACTGATCGTCTACTGTTGCGGAGTAGCCCTGGTACTAGTATTTGAGATTGTACTTCTCGTTAAGAGCAACAAAGGCTATGATATGGATCAGCCCAAGGCCGCAATGAAAAATGGGAAGGTGGAGGTCGAGACCCGCAAGCTTCCCCCGCAGAATCCTGAAAATGTAAGTCTTAAACACACAAGTATCCATGTATCGGACCACTGATAGACTTCCCTTGAACCTTTGCGCGCGCCATAGAAAAAAGGCGAGTAACGACTGGGTACGAGTCTGCCACTGATAGATACTTGTAATACTCCAGTTTCGGGATCTTATTTGTGCAGCCTTAACCTCGAAAGCATGTAATATATAGAGGATATTACATAGGCGCGCGGAGATATGGATTTTATCTTCGAATGCTGAAAACGTCTCTCACGGGATCGCTCACTCGCGAGAGATCTTTTCAACACTCCAAGATAAAATCCGTATCTCCGCGCGYCCATGTAATATCCTCTATTTATTCAGCAGAGATTCTATTGTTATGCAAACAGCAGTCTGTGTACAAAGAAGATAATAAAAATTTATGCTTGATTGAAGCTAAGCTTGCACATAAGAGAATTCGAAACTGGAGTATTAATCGATTTGTTTCATTTTCAGAACAAAAGCCTGAAAATAATCATGTTTGGTTTCGTGACGATATTGGTTATTGGATGCTGTTTGGCTTTAATCATTCTTATTGCACGTGATAATGACGATGACTAATTTCTGAAGTGAATAGCAAAAAAAAAAAAAAAACGAAAAAATTATCCAACGCGACTGTGCTCATTCAAACAATGTACTAAAAAGCATATTTTGATTAAAGAGTGATTGCACTTAATCCGTGCAACTGTGCAAAATCTAAGCAGTACTAACGACATGGACGCCATTCAAGTTTGTAAAATTTACTAAGTATCATAACAAGAAAACGAACTTCAGTTTAAATTTATTTACTATATTCAATCTGAAAAGCTCATTTCCAGTCATTTTAATTATTATTATTTTAATTAATTTGAATTATTTGTATTTTTATCATAATTATTTCAATTATTAAAATTTAATTATTAATAATCTTTTTTATTTAGTAATTTTGATTATTATTAGATCCAGTCAAGAGAAAATGAGCTCATTTTCTCTTGATCCAGTCAACAAAGGAACTATAACGCGGGCAAGTACTGTGGGCTTATACCACAATCAAATCACGATGATTGTAATCTTTTGTCCATTTTTGCCTTTGTCTTAGTTAGCGTTAAACACCTWGTCTATCATAGATTGTSGAGYGATTTCTAAAGACCAARACTGTGCCACGATTTTAACGACATGACCAAAAACTCCATGAGAAAGAAAGAAGTGATCGTTCACATTGGCAATCCAAAGACATATTCTTTTGTATCTTACGGCATGCTTCAAGGCGACTCTCGCTTTAAACGGTCATATATAAAACTCGTTTGATGTGAGCTGTCATCAACGCCATTAATCCAATTAAGAATAAAAAAATCTTTTGAGCGCAATAACTTTTTCAAAACTTTACTAAATACCTAGATGTAAAAACGATCTTTCCATTTCCAATGATATAAATATCAAAAAATCATTAAAATGTGACGGTTTTGGGTACGCTGATACCTTAAAAATAGAATCAACTCATTCTTGTTAAAAATCCATTCAACTATGACGYCATTGTGTAAAATGAACTAATAATCATTACAAGACAACAAACATCAGTTTGAATTTATTTGTTCAATCTGAAAAGGTTATTTCCAGTAATACACTTTTTCTGAAATAAAATTATGGTGCATTGTTATCTAGATTCGGTACAAACAACGCCATATTTGGCAGCATGAAAAAAAAGGTGTTTCTACTGAAACTAGACCACAATGCAATGCAAACTGCTATATCAGAAAACCCTACTAAACCCCCTTATTGGGGTTAATTTTTCATTTTTTCCTGGATCCAATCGACAAAGGTACTAACTCGGGCAAATCCTGTGTGGCGATCAACGAGGCAGCCTGTTATCACGAAACTCGTAACACCACGTAAAAACCACTGACCATTCTCCCAGCATGCCAATGGTCCCCCGCTATCTCCATAACAACCGCCTTTTCCTTGGGATCCCGCACATAGCATCGTATTATCATCATAAAACGACTTGAACGAATGCGTACAGTCTGTGGAACGGCCAATCGTCATATCTGCTTCTTGTAGAACATTCGCAGTTGTACTATGAGCGTTCGTGCGACCCCAACCTGAACAAATAAAACCAAGGTTTGAAAATGCGTCAATATTATATAATTAGTTTTATTGCGCGCGCTCGGATTGGTTGACAATCGTTTCGTTTATATTGAGGTTTATATGTAATATATAACACCCGCTCGGGTTGGTTGAGCGAGAAGATCCGTGTCGTACAGATTARAATTTGTATAATGTTACTATATAAAGCGCGTTCGGATTGAACAAGAACCGCTTCGATGGTCGAGTGAAGTACACGCACGTCCATATGACGACATTCAACTTTCTGTGCGTTCTKATTGGTCAGAAGCACAGGTAGCCCAAACTCAGCACTTACTACAATACAAGTAGTAAATAATATATCTACGGTACCAAAATTGAGAAAAAAGGTAGTTTTTTCACTGTAGAGAGCTGAAACTTCCCAAAGATGTGCAATAAACTAAGARCAGCATATTGTGTGAGTTTGAATTCATTTTATTGAGATTTCCGACTTTTATTGAATTTTTCKTTTTTCTCTACAAGACCTTCGGAGAAAAGCCGACAAGTACTGAGTTWGGGCTACCTGTGGTAAGAAGCAGTGCGTCTGAACTCTGTTGTATTTTCAACCATATGTATGACTAGCCAACGAAGTAATAGCTAGCAAACGCAGGAAAACCATGAAATAAAATCAAACTAAATACTAGCAAATAGCGCCTATTTAGAGACAAATTGTCAGTATCAATGRACCAGAACGCAATAAAGATGAATGAAAAATGGTCCCATGTGGATTCATCTTCATTGTGTTGTGGTCCATTGATACTGACAAWTTGTCTCTAAAWAGCCRCTATTTGTTAGTATTTAGTTTGATTTTATTTCATGGTTTTCCTGCGTTTGCTAGCTATTACTTCGTTGGMTAGTCATACMTATGGTTGRAAATACAACAGAATTCAGACGCACGGCTTCTTACCACAGGTAGTCCTGCGTTTGCTCTACTTTACCTGTCACGAAGCATTTTGTACCAGGACTGACCCTGTCGCCTTGWCGAGGAAGAGGAATTGCGGCTACGTGCTTGTGTAGCGCGATACTRTCTTGGAGATGAATAAGAGCGACATCTGCTCTTAGATGTCGACGATGGTAGCTTTTATGGATGTATATCTCCTTGGCATAATGAACTTTTAGGTGCTGTGTTAATTTTTGTCTCTCATGCGCACCTGTGCAGTAAGATAAAAATACCATTTAGATTAAAAGATACATTGATATATCCAATAATGCTAGTGACTTTTTTGCTTTCTTTTACTTTTAAGTAAGGGTTTTTAGTGTTTTAAGTTGTTTTGTTTTTGTTGCGCTGCTTTGTGTTGTGTTGTTTTTTGTT